GCCGCCGCAGCTCACCATCATCATCCGCTTCTTCCTCATCGGGGTCGGGGGGTTCTTCTCCAATGTCATTGAGCTCGGATTTAGGTGAGAGCCGTCGTCGATGAGAGAGAAGGAATGAGGGGAGAGAATTTTTAGCTTTTGTTTGTTTATTTGTTTGAGAGGATTCCTGTATTTTATTGGGTCTTTGATTGTGTTGGGCCTGGTTGCTTGAAAGGAGTCTTGTATGTTTGATGATTTGTTTAGTTGATGAGGGTGGAAGAGTCTACATAATTTAAAAAAAACAAAAAAAGAAAAAATTTTTTAGCTTTTGTTTGTTTATTTGTTTGAGAGGATTCCTGTATTTTATTGGGTCTTTGATTGTGTTGGGCCTGGTTGCTTGAAAGGAGTCTTGTATGTTTGATGATTTGTTTAGTTGATGAGGGTGGAAGAGTCTACATAATTTAAAAAAAACAAAAAAAGAAAAAAAAAACTTTGGGTTAAATGATTAACCTTCGAGTTCCTACACACTAACCTTCAGGTTTTCTATTCTAACCTTCGGGTTCTAACCCAAGTTCTAACCTTCGGGTTCTATTCTAACGTTCGCGTTTCTGCTTTAAACCTTCGAGTTTTATACAAGGAGATTGTGATCCTCCTGTTACTATACTATCCTGTTCTGTAATAATGATAGGATCTGACATCTCTTCTGCTGTAATTACTACCCCTACTACTGCTGATATTTCTGCTCCTAAAGTTGTATTGGGAATAACTGTAACGCTAAATGGCACAAACTATCTTCTTTGGGCTCAAGTCTTTGGCATTTTCATTAGAGCTCGGAACAAATTAGCTCATCTTCTGATCCCTCCTTCTGCTTCTACTGATCCTATGTATCCCGTATGGATCTCTGCTGACTGTTATGTGATGACTTGGCTTCTTAACAGTATGGAAGCACAGATCAGTAGCATTATCATGTTCTCGACTACTGCAAAGGAGATGTGGGATAATTAAAAAATTATGTATGACAACGAGAAGAATGCATCTCGTGTGTTCGAGTTGTATAAACGCCTTTTCTCTCTTCAATAAGGCGATCACTCTGTACCCGAGTACTTTGGTGAGCTGAAATGTCTGATCGATGAATTAGAAATGCATTAGTCCGTCGTTACGGATGCACCAACCCTGATGGGATATCGTAGGGACCTTACAAGGTCCAAGTTCTTGTCGAGTTTGAGTCCCACTTTACAGTCTCAAGTGCGGAGCCAGATACTAGGAGGAGATATTATTCTTTCTTTGACTGCTACTTTCTCAAGAGTTATGTAGGTAACTACTAGAGATACTGCTGTCTCACTGTCTACTCCGTCTCTTGACCAGTCTGCTATGTTCTTCGGACGTGGCAGACGTCGAGGTCGAGGTCGTGGTCGTGACCACGACATAAGGGAAGGACGAGGCTCTTTTGGTGGAAGACAAATTGACTCGGATAGGAATCTGCGTCGATGCCACTATTGTAGAAGAACTAACCATATATCTGAGAAGTGCTGGGAAAAGTTTAATCATCCTGCATGGGCCCAGATAGCTGATACTACCTCTGCTGCTTCCCCTACTACTACTACTTTCGCTTCATCCACAGTTCAAATTTCTCAAGCTGAGTTTGACCGGTTACGTCAACTCGATCTCTCGCAGAAGAATTATTTTGCTACTCATGCATCCTTTTCAGGTATGGATGCTTACATTGCCTCTCCTCACAGATCATGAGTATTAGATTCTGACGTCCCTTCTCATATGACAGGTATAAAGGACCACTTTATTTCCTTAAACCTTTCTGACAAGTGTCCATCAGTCCGGATCGCTGATGGGACATACTCTCTAGTTCTTGGTGATGTAGTCTATGCTACTTCATCGCCGACTCTTACTGATATTTTATATCTTCCTAAATTTCCTGTTAGTTTACTGTCCATCAGTCAATTCACAAAACACAACTGTAAAGTCACATTTTTTTCTTTTCATTATGTTTTTCAAGACCTAGCAACTGGGATGAAAATTGGTTCGGGGCATGAGAGAGGAGATATGTACTATTTGGATGACAATACGCCCACTACTGGTCTTGTTGCAGAAAAGTCTCATCATTCTTTACTATGGCATCAACGCCTTGGCCACCCATCGTTATCGAAACTTCGGTTAGTCATTTATATCGAGTCTTCTGTCTCTTCTCTAGGTTGTGAGTCTTGTGAACTGGGTAAGCAACATTGTGCTACCTATCAAAGTCGTGTTGATAAACGCAGAAGTTCTGCGTTTGAGTTAGTCCATTCTGACATTTGGGGTCTTTATCGTATACCTTCTGTGAGAGATTATAGATATTTTATTATCTTTGTTGATGACTTCTCTCGCATGACTTGGCTTTATCTTTTAAAAGAGAGATCTGAGGTTTTATCTGCTTTCAAACTATTTTACAATGAAATCAAAAATCAATTTTCTACCTCTAATCGTATCCTTCGTAGCGATAATGCCTTAAAATACATGAAAAATGATCTCTCGTTTTTATGCAAATATAGGTATTCTCCATCAAACTTCATGTTCTCACACTTCACAACAAAATGGAGTTGCTGAGAGGAAGCATAGACACATTTTAGATGTTGCTCGAACCTTGATGATACATATGAATGTTCCAAAGTATGTGGTCTGATGTTGTTCTAAGTGCATGTTTCCTGATCAACAGGATGCTCTCTTCTGCTCTTAATGGTAAAATAACGTTCACCTGCCTTTATCCTGATAAACAGACATTTTCTGTGGTTCCTCGTGTTTTTTGTTGTGCCTGTTTTGTTCAGGATTTATCTCCGGGACTGGATAAATTATCTCCCCGATCTATTAAGTGTGTCTTTGTAGGATACTCACGCACTCAAAAAGGTTATCGGCGTTATCCACCAGGAGGTATTTTGTGTCCGTTGATGTTATTTTTTTTGAGTCAGTTCCATACTTCTCTTGGGTTGGTTCATCTCCACCTGTCAATCCATCTATGTCTCTTCCGTCTAGTGCTCCTACTACTGTTACATTACCTGCTTTCGTTCCTTCTGCTGATGGATCTTCTTCAGGATTACATGATGCCTCTACTGTGCCACCTGCACCACCGTCACTACTGACATATTGTCGTCGTCCAAAAGCTCATGTCTCTCTCTGCTCCAGCCGAACAGTCATCTCCCGTTGCAGATCTGCCTCCTTCTAATCCTTCTGATCTAGATATTCTAATTGCTCATCGGAAAGGTAAACAGTCTTGTACTAGTCATCCTATATTTGATTTTGTTTCCTATGACCGTCTTACTTCCTTGTCTCATCAGTTTGCTTTGTCCTTGTCCTCTACATCTCTACCTAGATCATATCTACCTAGATCATATGAGGAGGTCGTGTTAGTACCTGCTTGGAATCAGGTCATGGATGAGATGGATACTCTTGTTTCTAGATAGACTTAGGATCTTGTACCTTTTCCTATGGGTGCTACGGTGGTTGGTTTTCGGTGGGTTTATACCTTGAAGTATCGCACAGATGGTTCGGTTGATCGCTATAAAGCTCGTCTTGTTGCTAAGGGTTAATACTCAAACCTATGGGATTGACTATCTTGAGACGTTCTCTCCCGTTGTCTGTCTCAATTCTATTCGTCTATTTTTTTCTATGGCTGTTAATCTGGACTGGACCATGTTTTAACTAGATGTTAAAAACACCTTCATGTATGGTGACCTACAGGAAAAAGTCTATATGGAGCAACCTTCGGGGTATGTTGCTCAGGGGGAGAATAATGTCTGTAGGCTTAAAAAGACGATTTATGGTCTCAAATAGAGTCTACGGGCATGGTTTGAGAAATTCAGTACTGCTATATCTGGTGTCGGTTTTAAAAGATGTCAATCTGATCACTCAGACTTCATCCGACGCACTAAATCTGGTTTGATAATTCTGGCAGTATATGTTGATGACATCCTGCTAACTGGGAGTGACATTGCTGCCTTAGCAAAGACTAAGGAGTATCTTTCACGTCACTTTGTGACCAACAAGATTTTAAATATTGGATGTCGGGTTCATGTCGGATGGCTAAAATCCATATCGGATAGCGAAAATCGAGGATATATCGGGGGACATTGACTAAATATCAGATTGTCATATCGGGTAGTGCGCATATGTATAATATCATGTCCTAAATGTAATCTAAGCATTCATAAATTCAATATAAGCATACTTTATAAATTCTATAGAGTATAGACTAAACATATAAAAAGTAAATAATATATGGATTTGGATTCATAAATTCTTTCTATCGGGTTCATAAGGAACCCTTAAACATGAGAACGGGTCAAACGGGTTTGGGTATTTATCACTAAACTCAAACCCGATAACAAAAAACATATCTTAAAAAAAAGTATCATATCAGTCGATTTTTTAAAACTAAAAAATAAGCCGATATGACCCTGATATTTTCGATTTGGCCCTGAAAACCGATATACGAGTTGAAAACGTTCATGTCGTGTCAGTCAAGCCCTCAAACCGACATGTCGGCCGATATTTAAAACCTTGGTGACCAAAGATATGGAAAAACCTAAATACTTTCTTGGGATTGAGATTGCATATCAAAAGGACCGTTTGCTTCTATCTTAAAGGAAATATGTATTGGACTTGTTAGAAGAAATGAGTCTTTTGAGGTGTAAGCCAGCAAGCACTCTAATAGAGGTGAATGTGGATCTGTGGCGTGATAATAATCCTCTCCTAGATGATGCAGGTCAATATAGAAGAATGATTGGCAAGTTGATCTATCTTACTATTACCTTTGCAGTGTTAGTACTGAGCAAATTTATGCATAAACCTAGAGAGCTTCACTGGACTGCTGCTGTGAGGATTTTAGCTTATGTTAAAAGCTGTCCTGAAAAAAGATTATTATATAAGAAACATGAACATTTACACATCTTTGTCTTTTCTGATGCTGGGTATGCGGGAGACATAGGAGATAGGAAGTCTACTTTTGGATTTTGCACCTTTATTGGAGGAAATCTGGTTATTTGGAGGAGCAAGAAACAATCTCGATCTAGTGCAGAGGCAGAATACAGAGCTATAGCTCATACTGCATGTGAGATGATATGGTTGCAGAAGTTGTTGACAAAGCTTAGTTTTACTGGACCTATGCCTATGCATTGTGATAACCAGTCCGCTATCTATATTGCAAAGAATCCAGTATTTCATGAGAGAATTAAGCACATTGAAGTTGATTGTAATTTTGTTAGAGATGTTTGGGGAAAAAAAGCGATCTCTCTTTAGTTCACTCCATCTTCAGAACATTTAGCTGACATTCTCACTAAAGCTACATCACCTAAGGTGTTTTTCATTCTATATAACAAAAGTTGGGCATGGTTGATATATATGCTCCAGCTTGAGGGGGAGTGTTAGAATTAGTATTTGGGTTATCGGGTCAGGACCCACCGGCCCGTACCCGAGCTGGGAACCCGGCCTGAGCCAACCCTGAGCCCGACACAGGCCCCGACAGGCTTTTTGGACAGGCCTAACTAAGACATTTTATTTACTAGTTGGATGGCTTACCAAATGTCCTGAGATTCCTTAGTTTTGAATAAAATGTCGAACCTGTTTGATTGCGAGAGGAGTACTAACTCTTACCAAACAACTTATGATTATTTGCTTATAAAATTTAAATCATGTGGCGATATAAAAAGTTACCTTATGAAACAATAATGTGGGAGATGTCTTGATAGAACTTGGAGCATATTTGACAACTTTAGATTATAACGATTGAATTAAAATTCATGTAGATTATAATTCATGGTGTTTTGTAAACTTTATAGATTATTATCCTGGTTCAATTGTAAAGTGTTTGGCAAATGAATGAATTATATCAAAATAACCAAAAAGTAAATTGCTTGTAATCCACTAAAAAAGATATGGCTGAGAATTTTGTGAAATGACGAGAGGGCTATATGTGTTTACTTGGTTAAACTTTGCGGTTTATAATCCACTTTAAAATAAGGCAGAACATAATTTATTTTTTGATAGATTATAAGCTAAAATAAGCCACTTTGCCAAACATCTCAAAGTGGCTTGTAAGCTAAAAAAGTGGCTTAATTAAGCCACTTTAACCATTTGACTATTTTATTGTTGTTTGGTTGTATAGCATGGCGACTTAGATCATAATTATAACAAAGTCTATACCACCTGCATCCAGAATTCAAAAAAGAAACAAAATGTTCTGCCAAATTTTTCATGACAAAAAACTTGAAAGAACTTGATGAGAGAGCAGAACGATATAACGACACTTGCATTATTGTCTTCGCTTATCTACCTTGATTTGAAAGTTAATGGATCAAAAATCAATGTCCACGGGAAGAAAACACCTATAAAGTGGAACCTTTCCCATCTTCTCCGAAACATCTCCTAACCTTTGAAGGGAAAACAAATTCGTCCATTTCCAGGCAGTGGGGATTACCTCGCTAAAACACTAACATCCAATAATATTGATGGTTGTTATTCCTGATGAAGCTGAGACATTCAGCTGAATTACAATCATCGGTTGTACTTTTTGAAGGCAACCATCTAATTTCTAGAGGGAAGATGCAGTGATCCACTGCTAAAATTTCTCTCTTTAAAATAATAGTAATAAACTTCTTTCTCACACAATTTTTGAAAAAAAAAAACATGTTAATTCCAGCAGTGACCATCACATCCTTCAGTATCCAGTGCAGCCCTCACAAACAACTCCCAGTAGTTCTATATTTCATTACAATGGTACCCCATGAAATAACATAAGAACTAAAAAGGGTAAAAATAAAAACTGCCTGAACAGCTTGAGAAGATCAAATGACAGTATTATCAAATGTGAAACTTCATTTAGGAATCTAAATAAATGTATGAAACTATAGTGACTAACATCGCGTCACTTTGCCTATAGATCTAGTTTCTTAACAGCAAATAACTTATAATCTTGGGTAAGGACTTTCTTTAAAAGCTTTGTTCACCTTAAGTGAGACTAATGTATTTGATTTGATTCATTTGAATAACTACCAGATAATTGATTCATTTGTATAACTACCGGATAAACAAATGTGGCCATCTAAAAGAATCTAAAATAGGGGCAAACTCGAAGGAAAGCGCACATGCATCCACAGCTTCTCGTAACATGCCACGTGGCTCCATCCAATCTCATCAAGCAATTCAATTCTTAAATCATAGAACTTCTTCTTTGGTGGCTCGGATTCATCTTGGATCAGATCATTTAGTGCCTGCCACAAGAAGCAACAATTTCACGAAAAGAAAGCTTAATCACAAGGGTATCTTGAAATTCCTAAAATTCCATTTGCTAAAATACTCTTCGCAATGAAGCAATATTACACATCAGCTTTGAACAGATACCTAATTATAGATGCACAGAAACGACATAATTTGCATTTAATAAGGAAAGAGAGGCAAGTTTGATTTCTAACTATGAGTTTGTCAAGAAATAACCTAATCTTTTGGGAGGTCAAACGTAGATTCAACCAACAAGTACTGCAGTTAATCATATTTTAGCTATTCCAGGAATTCATCAAAATCTTGAGCAAGAATGAGCCTTAGATAATGATAATGCCAATTACATCATAAGACCTAGCATTTTGAAAAAATACAATGAAACGAATTTCACAGGTTATCCCAAGGACTTGACTTCAAGGGTATGACAGTGGGCAAGACATGCTCTCTTATAGAACAATGAAATGCCTAGAGGTATTTCCAGAAACTCAATTGTATGCAACGACAAGAATGCTTCAACTGGAATTGAAAAGAAGAATCACATCTAATGAACTTAATCCAGCAGGAAAATTCTCTATAAATGAATTCAACAGAAATTACCTTCAACGCCATTCCAAGTCTTCCATTACGCCTTTCACGCACCACCAACAGCATGCCGTATTTTGGAGATTTAATATCAACCCATTTCTTTATTTCTTTGAAGTTCTCCTCAAACTGATCTGATTGTTCACTCAGCATTTCCTTAGATTCCTCTGCAGGCGCCTGTTCAACCTGTGGTGAACAACAACTGTTAACCTAATAAATGATAGGATTGAAAGTAACTACCAGCATGACATGGAAGAAATTGTTTAATCAGAAAAAGGGTTTCATCACTGCAAATTTCTCAGGTGAAATTAATAACATAAGTATGCCAAAAAACCTGTTGAGGAACTATCCTTTATAAAGAAACTAGGAAGAGAAGTTAATGAAAGTTCTGGATACAACAAAATAATACTACAGGGAAAAAAGTCTCTCGTTTCCAACTAATAGGCCTTACACAACTGTAGTTAGCATCTCCTCATCAATCATATAGTAACTTTTCATATTAGGGGATAACTACCCCATGAGAGCAACAAGCCCTTCAACTCATTTCCCACAACACCTACCAGTGTCCCCTCTTTCCACTCTCTATACCTCGAATGGAAACTTTAGTTCCACTTTAAATAACAATCCTGGAGTTGCTACATATACTAACCAAAATATACAATTAAGTAGAATAGCATACACTGTCAGTGCAAATTCTCACTGTCACCAACGTACCCATATTTCCATCAACCACGCCAAGATTTAACCACATGCAAACCTAGAAACGTACATTTTATTTTCCCCTTCTCCTAAATAGTTATGTAAATAGTTATGCCTCTAGATTTTCAGAACTTAGACTTCCATTAAGATTGCCAGAAACCAGCATCCAATTATATAGTACGCTAGAAACAAGTAACTATTTGGACAATGCACCATTTATAGGTAAGTTGTTAAAATTTAAAAATTATGATCAGTTCAGATTCTGAAGAATAACCTGTCAAAAAAATAATTAAATCGGTTAACAAGAGAACCTCAATATAGAAACAGAATTATTGATTCTTAATGTAATGCTTGTTATAAATAACTTCCAATGTGCCTTTGATTTATCAATGATATCTAAAATTTGTAATAACTAAAAGTTCCATTAAGCCAAGCACACCATGATATTGATTATTTATTGAGTATGCCTGAAACATGTTGTCACCTTAACCCTATAGAATAAACAGCATCTGCATTTAGGTAATCATAAAAAGTTGCTACTAAATTACTGATGATGCTCCAGTTGTTTTTCAGATTCTGAAGTCTCTCTTAAGTCTTAAAAAGTAAACATAGTTTTATTGTGCACAAAAAAAGAAACAAAAAAAAGAACTTATCAAACCTTGTGCGAAAACAAAGGATAATGTTAACTGTCCAGGTAGAGACTTTCTACTAGGTCTGTTTGATACCATGTTGACCCGAAGTTTTTAGATATATATAAAAAACTACAACTATCAAAAAAATAGATGAAAACCAATTTTTATATTTGGGTTGCAAAAAAGATCTTAGTTGAGTTCGCAAAAACTATGACTTTCACCAAAATTAATACAAAATATCAAGGTAAGACTGCTAGAATCAAGTCCATAAGCAAAAAATGATACATATAATGTAGCAAATTTATAAGAGCCAAAAGAATTGATGATCAAGTAGCTAATATCCTTATAGGAGAACCTGTTCGCAAGAATAAACGATTATACAGAACAGAAAATCAAATTAGAATGTCTAAAGCAAATCACCTCAGATATTTTTTAATAAGAAACAATAAATCCAAGTGAACTGAACAATTACATACAACAATATAGTTACCTTAGAGCCAATTTCTGCAAGTGCTAGCCCCTTTCTGTATAGAGCCTCTGCTAATTGGTCACGAGCTGTCTCCTTCTTCTTTTGAATAGTCTACACAACATTTGTTATTAAAATTAATATTTCGCTTACTTAGTAAGGCCAGAGTTTCAGATTGAAATGATTTGTGCTATGAGATTATCATGCAATGTGGCAACTACAACCTATGTCCAGATGACAGCCCTATATATAGCAGCTATCTAAGTATCAGATGTATCAGATGCATCATGCATCAGTAACGGGAAAGCATCATTTCAGGTTGGTGTTCTTCAGCAACAGCAAAAAGCATTTGTCCCAATTTTTTGTGGGGCCAGGTCAGCATTCTCAGTTCATAAATTAAATTTTAAACACAACCAATTGTTCCATGTTAAGTAAATATGCAGCATGTAGTGAAGGTTTTATGGATAAATTGTAAGCACCTCTGCTTCTTCATCTTCAGGATCAGGTTTCTTTGAAATCCATTCTGCTAACTCAGCTTTGTCTATACTCTCAATTACCTCATTGGCTGCCTTGATAATCTGAAACAGAAAATGGAGAATTTGAAAAGAGAATTTTTTTTATAAGATAACAGAAAGTACTGTCAATAAAAAAAAGGATTATCATAACTAAATTACCATCAAGTGCATTCCAATAGATTACTTACTATATATACCAATGAGTTCTCATTGACAATCTAATACACGACAGTAAATTATCTACTTTTATTGCAATACCACAGAGAACCAAATACAAGTATGAAAGTGGGTTATTTATCAGTAAATCAAAATTCTACAGAGTCCCAAGAATAAAAATGATTTCTCAGCACACAACGAGTTTTTGTACTGTCCTTGAGTTTACAATTGAGCACAAGGTAAGAATGTGTTGTAGTCAAAATTAGTTAATAAATATCAGCTTATACTTTGACTCCATTAGAAGCCTAAGAACCATAAAAGACAAAGTTATGGACACCAGGTCGCAGGGGATTATGTTTGGCACTTCATGCAGCAAAACAAATAATGATAGACATTTATCCAGAGGTCAAGTTTCACAGTTATCTAGCAATCATCCACTATCAATGACAGCAGCAACTCTCTGGAGCACCATACATGCTATATGAACATTCTAACCTGTATAATCAACAAGTTAAAAACAAGTAAGGTAGTGTAGCCACTTTATCAAGTAACCTACTAGTTGAGACTTAAGAAACATTCTGGCAGTGCCTCTCTAATAAATAATACTGTCACATAGGAATATGGTGTCTAATTATCTTTCTGGGCACAAAGTTTAAGTGCACTCACAACAAGCATGATCCAGATATGGATATTCAGAAAGTTGGACCAAGTTTAAGTGCACTCACAACAAAAGCATGATCCAGATATGGATATTCAGGAAGTTGGACCCTAGTGTGAGGAAACTCAGCAGCATTTATCTCCATCAGATTTGAACCTCCATGCGTGAGAAAGAGAGAGCACTCCAATATCCATCTTTCACCTCCCAATAAGTTTCTATATTCTCTTGTGGGTTCACTGCAGATAGGCCTCCTAAATTGTAGACCTCTTGAAAATTACCACTCCTCGCTTGGATATTAGATAACAGACCAATTTAATTAATTAATTTAGTTGAAGCTCTGTTAGTCCGAGCTACCTCATGTAAGACGTGATGGCATCTGAATTTCCCCTGACTTAACGGCAAATCAGTTATTCTCATCAGATAACCCAATTTCCTCCTTTCTCTTTCTCTGTTGGATCCAGATGATGTATTTTCATGCTTTCTTTCTCCCATTTAATTTTCTGCTCTTCTCTCTCACTCCCACTCTCCCTCTCCCCATGCCCCCTCTTTCTTTTAACCATCTGCAGGCAGCCTGCACCAATTTTCCCCTCAATATTGGACTTCTCTTTATACATACTTAAGACTTAAATCATCATTCAAAGAAGAGAATTTAGAAGTGTAATAGATTTTGGAGAAATAATTTTGAATTGTAGCTGCAGAAGATCATATCAATGTAACTATTACATGTTAACAAAGACACCATAAAAACTTTATGTAGTGCTAGGAAGCATGATGCTGGCACATACACAATGCATCAAATCCATTACATACAGGACACAAGTAGAAAACAACAAGATTATTTTCTTGTTCTTTAAAAAAAATTGCTTGTATATATGTGCCTAAATATTTACACATAAAAACAAGGCTATGTTTTATCACGTACACAACAACAAGGCTATGTTTTATCAGAAGTAGGGGAAAAAATAGCAAAAGGGTCCTGATAATTTATGTAGTTTTAATCAAGTAATTAATCAAATTAAAAACTTGAAAGTTCTGCCTAATATGTTACTTGATGCAAGTTTGTGAACATCTCACCATTTTCAAGGTGGACATGCTTCACTAACGTCGTATGCATTTTTGTCAAAGCAAGGCATGGCCCCATGATGTGCAATTAGTGATTTAAAACTTTTAGCACCAACACAGCTGTGACATAATTTCTTGATTTGGTATAAACTCAACAAGAAACTGGAATGTGAGATGTGTCAGACAAGTGTTAGTGTTTGATACATGTTGGACACAGGCAAAGAACTCATTTGAAGTGTCCTTGTTTCACAGGTTAGATGAAAGAAAGAAAACCCAGAAACAGTCAGGTAGTTATTGATCACAAAAGTAAAACATATCGAAACCTGTGTATTTTGTCACTAAACAACTATTCAGCTGGCAATGAGACTTTCACAAAGCATAAAATAATCTAATTAAAGCTTTGCACAAACATTCATGAATGTCATTCATCACTCCCAAAATGAAGACAATATCCACAAACATTCATGAATGTCATTCATCACTCCGAAAATGAAGACGTTATCCACAGAACATCTCCACAGAATACACACATACCTCTTGGTTATGATGGACATTGTCTTCGTCAGAACCTCCTGCAATTAAGCCTTCTAGAATTTTCGTAAGCAATGGCGTATAGTTTGGAAACTCCTCCTGCATGCACAACCAGGAACTTTATAAGAAAAAAAGAAACGGAAATGTGCAAAACAATAACTATGGAAAAATAAACACACTCTGTAAGACTATAACTAACCAACAAAAAGGGGAATGGGAAAACTTAATCGACCTTAAGAGAAGCAGAAAATGCATTCCATGCCTTTCGTTCTTCTTCTGAATTTCGCTTTAAGCTCGACAGTATCCTTATTTTAGCATCTCTCACCTGATTAATTAAAAAAATTATACTTTAACCAAGAAATAACGTAAAAACCATAAAGAGAATTGAGTTTTGTAGTCACAAAACTTGAAACAAATAATAGGAGTGTCAATGGTACAGCAGTAAGCTCCAAAAGAACACCTTAAATTACAGAAATATACCAGTTGCCCTTCTTGGACACAATTTGGTGTGACTCGATTGAACTTTGAAATTACAGAAAAATATACAAAAACAACAAACAAAGCCTTTATCCCAAAATTTGGAGTTCATTACATGAATCATGATTTCCATTAAGTTCTGCTGAGGGTTATCTCCTCCACTAGCTTAATTGTTCTCATATCTTTCTTAACAGAAGATAAAGAAATATAAATATATAAGAGATTAATGAGTATCCTTAACAAGGAGGGGGATTTCCTCCTTGACAATGATGTAGCACAATCCCCACCATGTGAAATTCGCTCTCCTACTTTATTCTCTCTCCTTCACATGGTGGAGATTGTGTCACATCATTGTCAATGAGGAAAATCCCCTCCTTGTCAAGGATACCCATTAATCTCAATATATAAATAGTTGTAACGAAGGAAAAGATACACAAACAAGTACTTCACAACTACAAGCATAGATAAGCATGTCATCTATATTAAAAATCTCTGCATGTGAAAATTACCTCTTCCTGCAGCCGCTCAACTATACTTTTACTGCAAATGGAGCTTGCCTTTCCTCTATCCTCATCCATCTATTACACAATAAAAAAATAATTACAGAGATGATCAATGGAGTAAAATAAGATACCATCTCAGAATGAGATAACTAAGGTTCTACCATCTATTTATCATGAGGATAAGCATGTCTCTTGTTCTATGCATCCAATCTCAAACAAATCATTAAATATGCAGATAATTTTTGAAAGTAACCCCCTGATCTCACAAGAAGTCAACCCTCCCTTAAATACATCTCTCTCGAGATTGGAGGCAGGCCACAAAATTATGAGCGTCCAAACACAAGTCTGTTAGAACTAGTATTTGGGTTATCGGGTCAGGACCCATTAACCCATTAGCCTATTACTCATATGTACTCCTATATAAACCCATGTTAATGAATGAAAGAGGTACTCTCTAAATTCTCAATACTAACATGGTATCAGAGAAACCCTAACCCTAACCTTTTGTTTTCAGCCAACCGCTCTCCACTGGAAAAGACAAAAAAACTACACCTACTCCGAGCGAAGCGCCGCGAACCCCTAACCGGCCGCCGCCGTCCTTTGTGTTCACTGCTGTCGTCACTGCCCCTCTAACCCTCCGCGCCGCAAGCTCACCATCATCATCCGCTTCTGTCTCATCGTGGTCGGGGGGTTTCTTCTCCAATGTCATTGAGCTCGGATTTAGGGTGAGATGCCGTCGTCGATGAGAGAGAAGGAAGTGAGGGAGAGAACAGCTGCTGCTTCACTACTTCGCCGCTCTCAGTCGTCGGAGCAATCGCCGACCTAATGTCCGGACTCTAGGTGCCTCGCCGATCCAACTCCAGATCCGACCCAGATCGGCTTCGACTCCTTGGTACCCTCATTCAATTTCGTCGCCTGGATTTTTTTTTTTTTGGGGGGGGGGGGGCTTGGCCTTGATTTTTTTAGCTGTTGTCTGTTTATTTGTTTGAGAGGATTCCTGGTATTTTATTGGGTCTTTTGATTGATGTTGGGCCTGGTGTCTTGAAGGAGTCTTGTATGTTGATTGATTGTTTAGTTGATGAGGGTGGAAGAGTCTAGCATAATTTAAAAAAAAAACAACAAAAAGAAAAAAGAAAACTTTGGGTTAAATGATTAACCTTCGAGTTCCTACACACTAACCTTTCAGCGTTTTCTATTCTACCTTCGGTTCTAACGCCAGTTTCTAACCTTCGGGTTCTTTTCTAACGTTCGCGTTTCTGCTTTAAACCTCGAGTTTTATACAAGGAGATTGTATCCTCCTGTTACTATACTATCCTGTTCTGTAATAATGATAGGATCTGACATCTTCTTCTGCCTGTAATTTACTACCCTACTATACTGCTGATATTTCTGCCTCCTAAAAGTTGTATTGGGAATACACTGTAACGTAAATGGCAAACAACTATCTTCTTTTGGGCTCAAGTCTTTGCATATTTCATTCAGGCTCGGAACTAAATTACTCATCTTTCTGATCCTCCTTCTGCCTTCTAACTGATCCTATGTATCCCGTATGGATCTCTGCTGACTGTTATGTGATGACTGCCTTCGTTTTAACAGTATGAAGCACAGATCAGTAGCATTTCATGTTCTCGACTACTGCAAAGGAGATGTGGGATAATTAAAAAATTATCGTATGACAACGAGAAGAATGCATCTCGTGTGTCGAGTTGATAAACGCCTTTTCTCTCTTCAATAAGGCGATCACTCTGTACCCGAGTACTTTGGGGACTGGAATGTCTGATCGATGAATTAGAAATGCATTAGTCCGTCGTTACGATGCACCACCCTGAGGATATCGTTAAGGACCTTACAGACGGTCCAAGTTCTTGTCGGAGTTTGGTCCCACTTTTACAGTCTCATAAGTGGGAGTCCAGATACTAGGAGGAGATATTAATTCTTTCTTTGATGCTATTTTCTCAAGAGTTCATGTAGGTAACTACTAGAATACTGCCTGTCTCACTGTCTACTCCGTCTCTTGACCAGTCCTGCTATTGTTCTTCGGACGTGCAGACGTCGAGGCCGAGGGCGGGTCGTGACCACGACATAAGGAAGGACGAGGCTCTTTTTGGTGGAAGACAAATTGACCTCGGATAGGAATCTGCCGCTCGATGCCACTATTGTAAAGACTACCCATATATCTGAGAAGTGCGAAAATTAATCATCCTGCATGCGGCCCAGATAGCTGATTACTACCGTCTGCTGCTTCCCCTTTACTACTACTACTGTTCGCTTCTCAACAGTTCAAATTTTCAAATGCTGAGTTTGACCGTTCGTCAACTCGATCTCTCGCAGCAGAATTTTGCTACTCATGTCTTCCTTCAGGTAATGGATGCTTACTTGCCTCTCCTCACAATATGAGCTATTTTGATATGACGTCCTTCTTCATATGACAAGGTATAAAGGACCACTTTATTCCTTAAACCTTTCTGACAAGTGTTCCATCAGTCCGGATCGCTGATGGGACTACTCTCTAGTTCTGGTGATGAGTGCTATGCTACTTCATCGGCCGACTCTTACTGATATTTTATATCTTCCTAAATTTCTCTGTTAGTTTATCTGCCATCCAGTCAATTCACGAAAACACAAACTGTAAAGTACACATTTTTTCTTTTCATATGTTTTTCAATGACCTAGCAACTGGATGAAATTGTTTCGGGGCATAAGAGAGGAGATATGTACTATTTGGATGACAATACGCACCACTACTCGTCTTGCTTGCAGATAAAGTCTCATCCATCTTTACTATGGCATCAACGCTCTTGGCCCACCAACGTTATCGAAATCCGGTTAGTCATTCTATATCAGTCTTCTGTCTCTTCTCTAGGTTGTGAGTCTTGTGAACTGCGGTAAGCAACATTGTGCATACTATAAAGTCGTTTGATAAACGCAGAAGTTCTGCGTTTGAGTTGTGTCATTCTGACATTTGGGTTTTCGTATACCTTCTGTGAGAAGATTATAGATATTTATTATCTTGTTGCTATGACTTCTCTACGCATGACTTTGGCTTTATCTTTTAAAGAGAGATCTGAGGTTTATCTGCTTTCAACGTATTTTACAATGAAACAAAAATCAATTTTCTACCTCTATCGATACCTTGCTAGCGATAATGCCTTAAAATACAGTGAAAAATGATCTCTCGTTTTTATGCCAAATATAGGACTTCGCATCAAACTTCATGTTCTCCACACTTCACAACAAAATGGATTGCTTAGAGAAGCCATAGACACATCTTAATGTTGCTCGAACCTTGAGATACATATGAAGTTCCAAATATGTGGTACTGATGTTGTTCTAAGTGCATGTTTCCTGATCAACAGATCTCTGTTCTGCTCTTTAATGGTAAAAATAACGCTTCACTTGCCTTTATCCTGATAAACAGACATTTTCTGTGTTCCTCGTGATTTTATTGTTGTGCGTTTGTTCAGGATTTATCTCCGGACTGGATAAATTATCTCCCCGATCTATTAAGTGTGTCTTTGTAGGATACTCACGCACTCAAAAAGGTTAGCGCGGTTCTCACCAGGAGAATTTTTGTGTCCGTTATGTTATTTTTTTGAGTCAGTTCCATACTCTCTCTGCGGTTGGTTCATCTCCACCTGTCAATCCATCTATGTCTCTTCCGTCTAGTGCTCCTACTACTGTTACATTACCTGCTTTCGTTCCTTCTGCTGATGGATCTTCTTCAGGATTACATGATGCCTCTACTGTGCCACCTGCACCACCGTCACTACTGAACATATTGTCGTCGTCCAAAAGCTCATGTCTCTCTCTGCTCAGCCCGCAACAGTCATCTCCCGTTGCAGATCTGCCTCCTTCTAATCCTCTGATTAGATATTCTAATCTGCTCATCGGAAAGGTAAACAGTCTGTACTAGTCATCCATATTTGATTTTGTTCCTATGACCGTCTTACTCCTTGTCTCATCAGTTTGCTTTGTCCTTGGCCTCTACATCTCTTACCAGATCATATCTACCTAGATCATATGAGGAGAGTCGTGTAGTACCTGCTTGAATCAGGTCATGGATGAGATGGATACTCTTGTTTCGAGATAGACTTAGGATCTTGTACCTTTTCCTATGGGTGCTACGGTGGTTGGTTTTCGCGTGGGTTTATACCCTTGAAGTATCGCACAGATGCGTTCGGGTGATCGCTATAAAGCTCGTCTTGTTGCTAAGGGTTAATACTCAAACCTATGGATTGACTATCTTGAGACGTTCTCTCCGTTGTCTGTCTCAATTCTATTCGTCTATTTTTTTCTATGGCTGTTAATCTGCGACTGGACCATGTTTTAACTAGATGTAAAAACAACTTCATGTATGTGACCTACAGGAAAAGTCTATATGGAGAAACCTTCGCGGTATGTTGCTCAGGGCCGAGAATAATGTCTCTAGGCTTAAAAAGACGATTTATGGTCTCAAATAGAGTCTACGGGCATGGTTTGAGAAATTCAGACTGCTATATCTGGTGTCGGTTTTTAAAAGATGTCAATCTGATCACTCAGACTTCATCCCGAGCCACTAAATCTGGTTTGATAATTCCGGCAGTATATGTTTGATGACATCCTTGCTAACTGGGAGCTGACATTGCTGCCTAGCAAAGACTAAGGAGTATCTTTCACGTCACTTTGTGACCAACAAGATTTTAAATATTGGATGTCGGGTTCATGTCGGATGGCTAAAATCCATATCGATTAGCGAAAATCGAGGATATATCGGGGCGACATTGACTAAATATCGGATTGTCATATCGGGTAGTGCGCATATGTATAATATCATGTCCTAAATGTAATCTAAGCATTCATAAATTCAATATAAGCATACTTTATAAATTCTATAGACTAAACATATAAAAAGTAAATAATATATGGATTTGGATTCATAAATTCTTTCTATCGGGTTCATAAGGAACCCTTAAACATGAGAACGGGTCAAACGGGTTTGGGTATTTATCACTAAACTCAAACCCGATAACAAAAAACATATCTTAAAAAAAAGTATCATATCAGTCGATTTTTTAAAACTAAAAAATAAGCCGATATGACCCTGATATTTTCGATTTGGCCCTGAAAACCGATATACGAGTTGAAAACGTTCATGTCGTGTCAGTCAAGCCCTCAAACCGACATGTCGGCCGATATTTAAAACCTTGGTGACCAAAGATATGGAAAAACCTAAATACTTTCTTGGGATTGAGATTGCATATCAAAAGGACCGTTTGCTTCTATCTTAAAGGAAATATGTATTGGACTTGTTAGAAGAAATGAGTCTTTTGAGGTGTAAGCCAGCAAGCACTCTAATAGAGGTGAATGTGGATCTGTGGCGTGATAATAATCCTCTCCTAGATGATGCAGGTCAATATAGAAGAATGATTGGCAAGTTGATCTATCTTACTATTACCTTTGCAGTGTTAGTACTGAGCAAATTTATGCATAAACCTAGAGAGCTTCACTGGACTGCTGCTGTGAGGATTTTAGCTTATGTTAAAAGCTGTCCTGAAAAAAGATTATTATATAAGAAACATGAACATTTACACATCTTTGTCTTTTCTGATGCTGGGTATGCGGGAGACATAGGAGATAGGAAGTCTACTTTTGGATTTTGCACCTTTATTGGAGGAAATCTGGTTATTTGGAGGAGCAAGAAACAATCTCGATCTAGTGCAGAGGCAGAATACAGAGCTATAGCTCATACTGCATGTGAGATGATATGGTTGCAGAAGTTGTTGACAAAGCTTAGTTTTACTGGACCTATGCCTATGCATTGTGATAACCAGTCCGCTATCTATATTGCAAAGAATCCAGTATTTCATGAGAGAATTAAGCACATTGAAGTTGATTGTAATTTTGTTAGAGATGTTTGGGGAAAAAAAGCGATCTCTCTTTAGTTCACTCCATCTTCAGAACATTTAGCTGACATTCTCACTAAAGCTACATCACCTAAGGTGTTTTTCATTCTATATAACAAAAGTTGGGCATGGTTGATATATATGCTCCAGCTTGAGGGGGAGTGTTAGAATTAGTATTTGGGTTATCGGGTCAGGACCCATTAACCCATTAGCCTATTACTCATATGTACTCCTATATAAACCCATGTTAATGAATGAAAGATGTAGACTCTCTAAATTCTCAATACTAACAAAGTCAAATGTCTTACCAACATCAACTTATTCAGCAACACAATGCAGTTTTCATCAACATTAATATCATAATATCATCATCGTCACCCACTAAATTTCGCATCAAGATTAGGTTTTCTATAGGAAAAAGTTGTCCAGAGATAAGATTCCATATCAGTTGACTAAATTTTAAGGATGGTTATCAACCTCATCCCCCTAAGTTTCTGCCAAAACTCTAGGAAGGTAAATAAGTAGAGGAAAAGGATCACTTAAAGAACTAGAACGCTGGTTGGCAAACAGAGGACCAACCTTAAGGCTCAGGAAATTAAGTCCATACAACCTATGAAGAACTACCACCCTGTAGCTCAGGCGTTAAATCCATAAAACAAAAAACGAGTCTCCAGGTTTGTGTTAGGCTAAGAACACCCTAGACAACAGAAAAGATGATAGAATCTAATAAATAAAGTCGCATTTGACTATTCAGGCAAAAAATACACCAAGGAATTTACTGAAAGTTTTTAAAACTTGAAAAACACCAGCACAGATTAAATTGAGCATGAAATCTAGAGGTAGTAAATATAACCTTGCAAGGTGGGATAAGATAAGAAATCTTATGAGATACTGGTGGTGATTGTGAATGGTTATTGTCTTTGCTGCCACTGAGAGATACTGCACCATAGGAAAGAGATCCAACCAGAACAGATCCAGGCTGACAGTTCTGCAAGAAATCAGACAGCAGATTATTACAGTGAAACAGACTAAGAGGTGATAACAATCCATAACCTGTACTCAAGCAATAAAAAAACAAACATCATATGCTGAAATACAAACCTTTGGAAGATTTTCCTTTGATGGTGGACCCACGTAAAATGCTTCAGAATCACTGGTAAACCATAGAGATTGTAAGAACATAAAAGATAGTTTGGAGCTAATTAATCACAATCGAATTGGTAGAGTAGATACCCAGGTAGTAAAACTGAGGACTTAAAGGTGCCATTTCCCATTATGCAACCATCAGGCTGAGAGAAAAAACTCAATTGGACAAAGTCCTGCACGCAACAAGATTGCACTCAATATTGATCGACATCACATTGCTCATAAAGCATGAAAACATGTGCATGAACTTTTTATCCAAATAAAAATTCTACCACACATGAAGATACATGTATACCAGCAACACATATACACAGAATGAGCAGACAGTACAGGAAATTTCCTTAATCAAGCCCTCAAAAGCATACGGTGGACCACCCAATGGATGATCCATCCTTTCATCCTGGTCGCTTTATGAAATCTTATACATGTATCATCAATAATGGAAGTACACTATAAATTTGAACAAGAAGTCACCAAGGCACATGAAGCACATAGTTGTGGTTCCTGTTGACATATATTTGGGATGGTTCACGGTGGCTCCCCTCACAAAAGTTTGGGTCCTGAATGCCCTAAAAATACTCAAGGATTTTAGCAATGCTAGACAATTATTTTTTGTTGGCATGTATTTTTAACGTTCCCGGTGTCTCCACTCACTAGAGTATCAGTCCCTAACGGCCTAAATATATGCAGGCATTCTAGTAATTATAGATCATTATTTTTTTATGTTCATTGTCCTATGGAAACCAATATAAGATCCAACATATAAACAGGAAGTTCCTAACTCTTACTGAGGCAAAAACCTCATAAGAAAGACACAAGAGAGTACATCGAACCAAGTGTCAGTATCACAATCAGGATTCAAGTGCCCCAAGGGACATATATCAGAGAATTTGACTGCCGAAACAAATAGACGACATATTCTGGAGGTTCCATTACATACAAAGATTTCAACTTAATCAAGGAAGATTTTTTACCTTTTTCTCCAATTTCCTTTCAATAAACAAAACCAGCTGCCTCATTTTCTCCAGAAAATGAACATTTTCATGTCTGCACAAAAAAAAAAACTTCTTAAGATTTTAGCAGTCAAGGTATCTCACATATGTAAGATAAAACAAACTAACATTTACAATCAGATAAATAGCTTATGGAAAATGTAACCAAGTATGCACATCCATAGTTACATCTGAAAAAATAGCAGAATAGAAAAGTATATACCGTCATAATGAATGTAATACTGACAAAAATAACCTGATATGAACTCCTAATTTACCAATATAACTATAGGCACAGCTAACATAAAGCCAATATGACCTAGATTCAAGGATCAGAGAACTGCAAAGAGTAAAAAATGAACATGCTGAGAATATAATCCAAACCTAAAGAAAGCAATTTTAAATAGTAATGTCCCATATTTGACTTGCGCAACAGAGAGTCTTGGTTATTGGCAGTGCTTTGGCATGAATTGACCGACTTTAAAGTTTTCTAAGCAATTTAAATCTAGAACCATCTTCTCAGAATAAAAGAATGTTAAGGTTTCTAAAATCTTTTGAACGCTGATCTATATACTTCCAGCTTTCTTTTCTGGGTCAGCAAGGGCGCAGGCCGATTTTCAGAGAACTTACTACTAACAAGAATTAAATTCTCATGTACATATATCAAGTCTGAACAGTGAGGATGTTGATAATATATGCCACCAACGTAACGTATCCGAAATATGCTCCAGGCTTCTAGCCAAAGACAGAGAATGAACTTGTATAAATGCATAATCAAATAAATCAGATCCATTAAATATGGAACGGACTACATATGCAGCAGACCTTCCATGTTCAGAAATACAAAAGGTGACCAGAACAGATTTTATCGAATAGGATTTATTTTTGTATGAACATTGTTTGCTCCTCTAAAGAGTAAGAAATGATAAACAGAAAATTGCAGCAGGTAGGTAACCAACTAGTACATTTGCTACTCCCATAACGCAAAATTCCCACAAATGTATAAGTTACATGCTCGAAAGTGATTAACCTTTCGTAAGATGACCAAAATAAGATGACCCAAAAAGTATATGGTCACAGAAAATGGAAAATGGTGTAATAGGTAGGGAAGAGAAGGAAGCAGATGGAGTGATTGAAACCATGAAAACAAGTGAATATTTTCCCACCAAAAGGAATGAATATTCTCTGACGCAAGCATGCTTAACTACGGAGTTGTTCGGCTGATCCACGCTTAACTACGGAGTTGTTCGGCTGATCCACTGCCGAAATATAGTTAACCATTGTTGCACTTGGTTCCCTAGGCTTACTATTTAAACCAATCAATGTCCTCAGACAATCGATGTGAGACTATTAGTAGGGGTGTGACATTCACCGGACCTTTTTAAATTTGTGAGTTTCTCGTCGCGACATAATGACAATTAGTTCATCCCAGTATCACTATCACACCATGTGGATTCTAGAGGTGACTACTACAGTATCTAGAGGTGACTCATCCCTCTTGCGCAATGTGGTCCCGCATAGCACTTAGTTCCACACTTCTGGCACTTGTCATGCCTCGAGCCTAAGAGCCCGTTGGCGCGATGTAAGCCTTGGGATCCACTCAGTGCAACACTATAACTTCCCATGAGGTCACCCATCCTACTACTACTCTTGCATAAGCACGCTTAACTATACAGTTGTTCAGCTAATCAACTATAGAAAAATAGTTAACCATTGTTGCACTTGGCTCCCTAGAGTTACGATTTAAACCAATCAATATGTCCTCACACAATTGATGTGGGACATTAGTAGGGGTGTGACACCACACAGCTCCAAGCAGGTAGTAGGTAAAGAGGAACTAATAGGTATGATGTAAAAAGGTGGTGTAAGCTGAGGGGACTAGTAGGTAGTACATAAAAAAGGAAAATCATGAAATAAGGTATAGACTTCCTGCAAGAAGGGTAAAAAAGAATATTACTCGTAAGGTCCATCATGCAAAAAAGCATAAGGCGGTACAAGATGTAAGAAATTTTGAGAAAAGGTAGTATGGGATAAAATGCAGAGTAACTCACCCGGATAGGAAACTAAATAAAGGCATGCCTACTGTTTGCCTTAGTGCAATGAGTGAGGCCACTTCTTTACAGATATCTGTCAACCAACAGGCACGAATATAACACCACTGCCATCTAAGACTTTGTAATATGGGTCCTTCAGAATATGCATAAACAAGGTTGTAGTTTGCTGTGCAAGTATGCAAGTTATATATGTGATCAATGATCATGTAGCACGCAAAAGCTACTGATGCACAGTGGGTAACCCTTGCTGTTTAGATTCGCATGATATAAGCATAATAGTCCAGTGGATAATATCAGAAGAAAACTCGTAAAGAGAAGTAAAGCTGTAAAAGCTAATTTTGCAACCAATAATAGTCTCAATGATAAATTACATCATTTTGCAATAATATGAGATACAATTTTCTACCATAACCATGTTCCGATAATTCACATCAATGATAATAGGGCATACCTTATATACAGTTGCAAGGTGTATTCTCCCCTTGGGACCTTCACATATTTAGGGTAGACATCCCCACATGCATAGACACGCTATAGCAGCAAACAAATAAAAATAGAAAATTAGCCCCCTGAACAAAAGCTGTAGCAAGTAGATATCATCATGAAAATTGCACCAGTTTGTGGTATTGAAAATATTTGTGCAGCTTCTGCAGATATTAAGGTAGATAGTTAGAATTTCCCATGTGTGCATGTCTCCATGTTGGCATATCTATATCCGCACAACATAAGATATTATGGATTATACACAATCACCATCACCTCTATGACTGTACCACTTAATAACTAGTACTGTCAAATAAGGAAAAAATATGGACCTTTTGCCATTTATCTATTAATTTAAGTCACAGAAGTAGGAAATATTGGTGTCACCACCTTGATGATACAATGAAAGTTAAATATGAACTATGCCAAAATATGAAGCAAGTATTTACTATACAATTCTACAAATTCACTCTATAGAATTCAATTTTTTAAGCTATTGATCTGTACACAGTTGCAAGGTACTGGTAGATACAAAAAACAACCCAACTCTTTTAAAACTAGCATAAGTAAGATCATTACGCAAAGCCCTACACTTAAACACTATACTTTCAAAGAAAGATAATTAGTTAAGGAGAATGGCCAAGCTAAGATCTCACACGTAATACATTAAACCTATGTTAACCAGGTACTTCTAATGTGAAGTCATACCTATACCCAACACGTACATGTACCCGTTCCCAAACTCCTTGGACACTCCTTGCATATATGCATATAGTTATTCGGGCATGTACTCAAATATGCAATAGATGTTTTAATTTAAAGAACTTGTCATATATTTTTTGGACATATATCCAACACTTCACATCCACTTCTTCAAACTTGATGAATATAGGTCGGGTTTCGGATTATGATTTTGAAGGGTTGTTTGGGTGTCCAGGCCAAAAACTACTGTTTTTCCAATTTATAATCCACATAATAAAAGAAACATAAATATATTATAAGAAATTTAAGTCTCATCCTTGTTCTCATATCAATTATTAATTCCAATATATAATATATTTGTATATAGATATTTATTTAGTCATGTCCCTGTACCCTACCTTTTACAAATTTGTCATGTCCCATGCCCGTACCCATGCAACATAGCATTAAAGAGATCCACATGCAGAATCAGACCTAAGAGGATTCCTAGAGTATACATTAGAATCTTATCATTACCGCAAGTAATTATTACAAAGAAACAGATTTCCACTTACATAATTTAATATTATTATGGCCCCTCATTGTGTTATTATGATCACAGATAGAACTTTCTTTTTAAAACTCACACAGTAGTTGCATGGAAACAAGTAGAAATGTGATTAGTAAAGAAGCACGTTTAATACATGTAGGAGATAAGGAAATAGAACTACCTTATTAATATCTGATATGCTGTAAAACTGTGACTCAAATTTGGTATCATATACCCGATTGTTTAGGAGGGGAATATGGGGCTTTATTTCAGCTCCTTCTTCCAATTTGAATTTGTAACTGCAGAAGGTAAGCAGGAGTTGCATGAGTTTGTATCTATATGAAGTTTTTATATCACATTAGACAGTAGAACATGAAATAACTTACGTTAAGGTTAGAGCAATAATCTGCTTGCCAGAGGGTAACTTATCACGGGATGTAGGTAGAGTACTCAGGTTAGACTCTACGGGCCGATAAGGCACTTTTATCTGCGAAAAATAGATCATAGAATATAGAAAAGAGGAACATTATCTTCAAGCATATGCTGGATTTATGCTGAATCTAATTTACCTTGTTTAAAGTAGCTGATGGGACAAGTTTTTCAGCTGCCAATAAAGATTTTGCATCAATTTTGACAGGTGCCTCGCTTCCATCGAACAACAATGTGCCCCCGTTGATGCTAATCCCATGAAATACCATCTACAGATATATGAGATGCAAATACTTTAGTATTTGTTTAAAGAATTAAAGTCCCCTTAAAGAATAATAGCTAAATTTTAAACTTTACTGAAAAAGAAAAATTATCTGTTCTCATAAATCATAACATAAATTCAGAAACCAAATTGGAAAGCCAACACTATTTTCCAGTTAAAACTTCAAAAAGAATACCGTAAGGTGCAATTGATACAAATAAAAGAAAGATCTGCATACCAACACGGGTAAAAATATGAATGAAGAGAAAATAGAAAGAACTCTGAAAAAAAGAACTCTCAAATTGCAGCTACTTTGTTTTGCTTGATTCTTCCATACATGCATAGTAGTCGTGTCGAACTGTTAGTGTGTCAGAACATCAGATGTAATTTTTGAATCCGATAATTTGTGAGCCATCAAAAAATGCTAGTAAATGTATTCATCTTAAATTTCTATTCAAGAATATGATTTCAAAAACAACAGATGAGCTTCTCAGTACAGAGCATCCCACGGATAAGCATATCAAAAACAGATTTGGATCTCACAATGCTCATAAGGGCAGCTTGGTGAAACCTGAGGGTTTGGTTGTGATAATCGAAGGTTGAGTAGGTGGAGCTGATCAAAGTTAATGATGATGAGGCAGTGGATTAAACAAAACAAGCAGTATCAAATTTCCAGTTGAAGCCCTAATAACGCCTACCCAAAACCAGCGAGAATTTCAGGCTTTCATTGAGCAGGTAGGGTTTAGCCTACTCAGACTAGCACCCATAACCAATATCCTAACCGGGACATCATGCCAAAGAAAATATAAAAGATTCCCATCAATCATCCACTTATTTACAACAAAATAAAGTGACGGGAGGGTTGATTTCTCTGACTGGCATGCAATAAGCCCTTTGATGATTAGTTTACCTTATCGTCCTTATCTCTAGTACTTATAATATTAGGACTTAATTTGACAAAAGAACAGGGATCAAAATCTAATGTTTTGTATCTGAATATTGCACTAAGGCTGAGCCTGTCTGTGAACAGCGTAGAAGAAGACCCATCTACTTGTGCAAATTATACTGTCGGTTAATACAGCAGAATAAGAGCCATATAAGCATTAAAACTTACACAGGTAACGAGTTCCTTCTTTTAAAGAAGCTAACAGCACCATCTTAGTATAATAAGCGTCAGGTTGCACTGCCAAATTAAATGGAACTTCACATAGCTAACAATTTCACTGGTGCCTAAAGAGGTCAACCCTAAAAGGATGACCACTTCTAGTAGAAATTTACATAGAATCTTTAACCTTCAGCATAACCTCTTATGCCTTATTGGTTAGGTTATGGTATTGGTGAATATATTATTCTTATACACAATCCCATTATTGTCCATCTTTTATAGAAATATCAGCAATTAAGAAAAATTAATAGGTATTGCTGAAACAAGAGGATCAAAATAAGAAAGAAATCCTAGTGAAAGGGTAAAAAACGGAGCATGATAATATATTTTTTGAAGAGAAAAAAGCATAGCAAATTTAATGATTCAACCTTCAACCTACTCAAACTACAAAGAAAATAACCTACCAAGACAAAAAATATAAATGAACAAAAAAGATAATGACAATCTTCTACATGGTCAACAAATGATTATTGACAAGTTAAAAACCCTTTCTCAGAAGTACCTCAAAATCAACAGTAGCAGCTTCATTACTACCAATACCACTGGACCAGAACTGGGCAATAGCCAATTCAATGGTCAGACCACCTTTCACAGCAAACATGAAAGTTTTAAATGAAGGAGATGAAAATGTCACAACAGCTTCCCACTTGATAGGCCGTGTCAATGGACTAATCTGTATGGAAGAATGTTAATGCAAGCCAAAAAAGTAAAACTAATCTTTCGGTCATGCATGATACCTGAACAGCATCAATGAAGAACCTTCGTGCAGTATCAAATCCGGAAGTTCGCATCGTCGCCTCAACCCATGTAGCTCCATGTGGCACCTCAATAAACCTTCTTTCAATAAGACCTGCAAAATAAAATAAGTGAAGGACATTTGTTGTATAAAAGGGAAAAAGCAAGTGCCTCCAGAAAATGATATATGATGTTTTTCCTAAGTAGTCATCCATAACTATATTTACGTTACATTCAGATGGTAATGATTATAAATATCAAAGTATGCAAGACAAGTATCACATCTCGTCTTTTAAAATGAGGATCTACCTGTGTTCTTACAACATGATTTACAAGACAAGCGCGTGGTACAGAAAAAAACTAAACCTCATGTGCCTCTACATAACCAAGCTGCAGATAAGATCACCTATAAGTATAATAATCCTAATTTCTGCTTGTTAAGAAGTAATTAGTTGTATCAAATTATAAATATTAAATTACAAAGGATTGGTATGAAAAAGTAAACTAATAGATATGTAAGTTTGATGAGGGAGTATACTAGTAATGGAATTTTCTGCTAAGGCTTTATTGAAATTTTGAGAGCAAATAAATTAAAGAAGCCCCACCTGTGTCCTTTTAAGAACCGGCAGAAAAGAATAGAAAACAAAAAAGTCGACAATCGGCAGGAAAAGGAAGCCGGGGTAAAAAATATATGATCTTTGAAGGGCAACTTGATCAGCTTAACACGATGATTAAGGTAAAAATCCCATTTCTATCTATAGCAAGTTGTAGACGGGTTAGGATATAACTCTCTTGTTTATGCAAACAATTTTTACCTTCATCAAAACTTTAAAATGTATACCATATCTCCACTAGTTGGATCTTATTTTCATGGTCATGGCTAAATTCTTTGTCTTGTGCAGCACTTTGTTGCACTTATGTTTTCAAAATCAATATATGTACAATTATTAATCATGAGTTCAACCTCTTGGCCCAATGGGTATGAAAGCATACAAGCTTGGTTTTTGTGTCGGACTTGAGGGTTCAGGTTCATTCACAGATAGGCGGACAACTAACAGTATTAGGTTAAATAAAATTGTATAATTTGCTATAGAGTCTAGTATATTAATTATTTTTCTTTGCTTAAGCATATAGTGTTGGGGTGCTATATATTGATGAATATTTGCACTATTCTTTAGGGATTTCTAGATGCATCAGAGTTATGTCGAGATTTGGACTTTATTGGGTATTCTGTAAGTGGTGAATTTATGCATTGTGTGCTGCGTATTTTTCCATATAAAATTATATTATGCATATGTGGGTTGGTTCCAGATGGATTATACCCTTTTGTATGATTTACTCACATATAAATTGTTGATTGGATCTAATTCACATGAATATTTGGTATAACTCATGCTTATTTTCCTTATTGACAATCATGTCTTTTTCATATAGTAGTAGGTTGAGATGCATATGTGGTTGATTTCATTATTGGTTGGCCTTTGGCATTTCTTTCTAAAATATTTGGTTTTATGAACTTCGTTTATTTTTTTCTAAGCATATGCATCTGAAGTCAATATACTAGTACATGTTGGAGATAAGTAAGTCATTTAAACAGGACTCAATATGCCTCTATGAGGTTTTTATCTTAGCACTAAGAGCCCACGTTTGGGCCTCACTGTCCTGGCCGCTGGCTCAATAATAGTGGGGTTTGCCAAGTGAACTAGAGTATTAAAGTGTTGACCGCATTGAGACGTGACCTACTTATTTACATTGCATGAAAGTATACTTTAAAAATGTTGCATCTTTGATTTTCTACTATTCTAATATTTTGCTTATCAAATCAAAACATTTTGTAGTTTTCGCAAAGCCAGTATTTTAAAGTATTAATTGTCCACTTATTGAGTTGTGCACTCATTGTGTCATATTCACCTTTTTCATAGACTCAGAGACTCAGGATTAGGTAGAATGGAGGACTCATAACTCTTTGAAAGAATTGAGGAAGCTGGCTGATCTTTGATAAATTACAAATTGTGGATTTAAGTGAAGTTTAAATGAATATTTTGATTCTAGTTGAATTTTGGAAGATTTATAATAAGAAGATTTTCTTTTTAAGATTGAATTTCACTTCTAGTTGGGAGAATATTATTTTTCTCATGTAATTGAATTGATATAAACGTTTAAACATAGAGGATAATTAGTGCTGGTTTTAATTTATATGATGAGATTATTTTGGTAGTTATTTGATGAATGTATACTCGGAAAAAGATTTTAACAGGTTTAGTTCGACTCTAATGTTTCTTCGCGGTCCGAAAATTAGAATCGTGACATGATGATATCAGAGCTTAGGCTGTAGATCCATTGTAATTAAAAAATGATTTAGTGAGGCAAGAAGAAACTGAATTTTTGATATATAAACATGGAATTTTTTTTAACTCATTTTGAAGTATGATCGAAGGACAATACAATGAATTATTTGACCCAAGGATTATAGAATATTTAAGTGTGAGTTCATTCATAATCTTGGAGCTTTAGAATTTAGGGTTATCATGATTTTCTTGGAGGCTAAAAGTCTAGTGTGGGTAGCATAAGATATGACTAGGATATGCGGCCATGAATATATTATTTATTATGTGCTATCATTGCTGAGATTACATTGTGGATTAAATTAGTTGATAAAAATATTATGATTAACTTGACATTAAAGTATTTTATTTTGGTAATGTTATTTGGGTTGAGAATGTTAGTGATAAATTAGATATTTAGGCTTTACTTGGATCTATTTGTAGACCTCTATTGATGATATATTAGAATGCTCTATAAGTTAGAAGAAGTGTAAGAGACACAAGAATTATTTTATGTGTTTGATCGAGGAAAATTATTTGGAAAGTTGAAGAAAACATGAATGTTGGTTGGAGAGATTTTATTTAATTTTATTTTATACCCAGCAAATAGTTTTACTGTAGATTTTTGTTGTGATAAAATCAATTAGACTTGTTGTTTAGAGTGATGTCGAAATCTGTAAGAAGTTATTATACATATTTCTTCATGTTTAGGTGAATGCATTGTTTTGTGTATTCCCTCTTTTTCAAAAACAAACCATATAAAGTTAGAAAATGGGTTTGATTAAGGTCTAATATGGATGAATTTGATTTTGGGATGCATAAGTCCTCACATGTCACTTTGTCAAACTTTCTTAAGTTATGTCTGGGTACGACATTCCTAATGGCTTGATGTACGGTGAATAGGTGAATTTTTGTGATGGACTTAGAAGTACAAAAAGTATTATCATGAGTTGCAAGATCAATAAGTATATGCACTTATCTTTATGATTGCTTGAATGTAGTGATATTTCTAGAGTTGGTTACATGAGTTTTCTAATACAAATGAGAAAATACTAGCAAATGTAACTAGAAATATTAAGTGTTATGAGCAACCAATATGAGTTTCTTTTATTTATATATGTGAAGACATTGCTAATATAAGTAGACATGTGACATCTACAATGATCACAAGAATCTTAAGTCCATATATACCATTAAGTGGAGATAATATAAGGTAAAGAAATTGGTTGGAGCTGATGCAAGTTATTATTTTAATATTTGTTAATATTTTTTGAAACACTAGCTTGGTACTTAAGGTCTTGAGCAAAAGGTCAAATGCTAATATTACCCTTTGATCTCTGAACAAAACATACATTAGAAGACTCAAAGCAGTATAATATTGATATTCAGTGGGTTAAAAATGATATTTGTTCATATTTGGATCCAGTCTCTCTTGAAGGAGAGTAAGAGGGTAACAAAGAGTAATTATCTTTTATTAATAGGCAAAAAAAATTAAGTAATAGATAGAACAAGTTCTTTCTTATGATAATGTTCCTTGCCATGAGATTTTGAGATTATGATTGTTTGTCCTTAATTATCTGATTTTGAAGGGAAAAGTATTGGAAGTGACAAATTGTTCTATATATATTCTATCATGAAAGTACGAAACAATATCGAGTTGTGAAAATTATTTTGGTGGAATAACATGAAATTAGGATTGCAAAGTTTATGTCTTTATGTTTAGAATGTCAACAAATAAAATTTGAGCAATTAAAGTTTACCAGACATGAAAATGAAAGTAGATAACCATGGATTTTTTGGATTTTCTAAGAGTAAAAAGAGAATTGTATTATCTACCCTAGAGATAGCTCGAAAGAAAAAAAACGAGATAAAAGAAATTGTTTGTCTACTTAACGACTAAGGTATATATAAGTTTTGGTGATAAAACTTCTTTTGAAGGGCGTAGTATGAAATATCCCAAATTCTCAATGGTTAAAACTAGGTTTGCAAATTATTTAAGTGTTGTTCTGAACAACGAAGTTCACTAACATTAGCTTGTGAGTGTCAAATTGCAAGAAGAGATATGAGTAAATAGTGTAATAACTAATACATATATATAATTATGAAGTAATTGAGGGGGTTAAAGAAAATTACCCAATAATCTAGTTGACAATTTGGATATGTTTAAGTTTTGAGGTCAAAACTTTTGGTAAGAGATAAAATGTAATAATCCTAATTTTTGCTTGATAAGAAGTAATTTGTTATATCAAATTGTAAATATTAATTTATAAAGGATTGATATGGAAAAGTAAACTAAATTATAATATGTTTGATGAGGGGGTATACTAGTAATGAAATTTTCTTCTAAGGGCTTTATTGGAATTTTGAGAGCAAATACATAAAAGAAATCCTACCTGCGCCTTGTTAAGACTTGCAAGAAAAGAAAAGAAGAGATAAAAGTTGGCATGGCAAAAGAAGGCGGAGGGAATTTTTGATCTTTGAAGGGCGACTTGATCAGCTTTTACATGAGGAATAAGGTAAAAATCCTATCTCTATATATAGCAAGTTGTAGATGGGTTAGGATAAGCATAACTCTCTTGCTCATGCAAACAATTTTATTATTAGTTTAATTAGACCTTTTTCTAACTAATTGTATACCATAACTACAGTTGGGTCTTATTTTCATGGCCATGGCTAAATTCTTTGTCTTGTGCAACACCTTGTTGCACTTATGTTTTCAAGTCTAGTATATGTACAATCGTTACTCATGAGATCACACTCTTGGCCCAATAGGTATGAAATCATACAAACT